ATATTAGCTGCCCTTCCTGATAAAGTAGTAACATTCTACTTCCTTTCAATCAACAAATTTTCATGAAAACAATGTATTGAACCTTAGGAAAGGGTGAGAAAAGCTCATTAGTTATTTTCTATTAATACGTGTTTGAAATATCCTAGGTGTGGCTTATAATTTTGCATTTTTAGGTGTCCTGATGCCTTTGTTCAAAAGTCAGCAGTATTATCAACTGTATGATAAATTGATACCTGAGACACATTTTCCAGCCTCTGAAAAACCATGCGCTTTAAATATATCTCAATATGATCTGTGCATTGGACAGTAAAACTGTATTCAGATGGCATTAATGGATGATCTTTATGCACTGGTATACAAGACATAAAGTCAATGCGATTTCCTTCATTATCACCAGAATTATTTTCAGAGAACCAGTTCTAACATCAAAAAAGATATCTCAGTGTTTTACATCCTTGAGAGGATGTATATTGAATGCTTCTTAGATGATCAATCTGTCCATTTGGTTTAGATTATGGGTCATATGTTTTCCTTTGGGGTTGATTGTGTGGGTACTATTCTAGAGCACCCTCTGTTATCCCCATTCAGGAAAACGGATTAAAAAATACATTAGAAATACCACATCAAGTTTTGTCCCTGTCCTCTGCAAATTAACTTTATATTCACTCCTCCCCAAACTTATAAACATCCACTCAGAAAAAACAAACAAACAAACAAACAAAACCCAGACTTTAGAAATTAAATTGCTAAAAATTTTTTATCACGGAAATATTTTCCATCTGCCCATGTGTGTCAAAAGTAGGGTTTAATGTTAAATGTTAATGTTTCTTTTTATACACACATGCACACACTGTGATAAACATGTAGAAACAATATTTTATGCAGTAAGTCAGAACAAGAACTTATAATTTGTATAATATTAACACATTACAAAGCATTCTAACTCACATTAGTCATTCATCAGCACTGGGAACACAGTAAACATATCACTTCACTAAGCACCAAGGAATATAACAATGAGCACTGAAGGAAGCTGCTACCTCTGCCCATTTTTTCCTCAATCCGGATAGCAAGTGACAAGGAACTCATGAAGATTATCTTTTGCCCAAGGGAGTATTCTCTAGCCATAAGAGGATGAAAAGAAGGCTCCTTATAAGATATATCCTTTAAATAAAATAGAAAATGTAACTCTGTAAATGATTTTGTATTTATAATATTTTACAAATGCAAATCAAGGGAAGGAGCATGAAATTTTTAGTTTGGACCTACCTTAGAGCTACCCAAATAAAATAAATTTAAAACTATATAAACTATTTTGAGTAACTAAAAAAGCCACAATCTTTTTTTTTGTTGTTAAAGGCTTCCATAGGCTCATTTTTTGTTTGTTTGTTTTATTTTTCTTTCTGAAACCACCGTTTCCTGTTTTCAAAACCTAAGGAAAAGTAAAAACATTTGCTTTAATTATCAAAACTTTCTGCAAGAAGTGATTTTTTTTATGAAATTATCCTAGTTGGTTGAGTGATACATAAATTTATTACTCTTTATTACCTTAGATATTTTCCTCACTTCTAGTTTTCTATTTCTATTAATAAAATATGGATACACAGTAACACAAGAATTCTTTATGTTCTATATATTACAGTATTATATTTGCATAGTATATTCTGATTACTGTGTTCATGTAAAGTTATGATATTATTAGTAATTCTATAAAAAAGAAAACCTAAACTATCCATTTCCAATATTTTGAACCATGTTCAGCTTCGTTTGAATTAAAATAAACCTATATACATTGAAATTCATTACATTATTTCCACAAATGTTATATTTAAATTTCTATGTATTCACTTACTTATTTGATGTTTTTTCATTTTGAAAAATGTTAGAGATTCAGTACAGCATGCAAAAAAAAAGAAATTCAGGAGTTTTAAGACAAATATAATTGCAGAACATATAACACTGAGAATAACACATTTTTTTTATTTGCATGTAGTTCTTTTAAGAATCCTAGATAAATAAATAAAAAAATTAAACCTAATAGTAACTTTATAGTAATAGATGGATTAGCTCATCTTTAAATCTTTAAAGTCAGAGTAAATGGAAAACCATCTGCAGTTCACTAACATTAACTGTGAGTAGGCCTGTATGGGATCTGGTTACAATGAGCCAGCTCCATCTGTCGTGGCTGGATACATATCAGATACACTTTTTTAGGTGACCCCTTCCCTGAGGATCTAGGACTATGCCTTGCATATAGTAGGCACTTAATCTTCAATGAATTAGTATCAGTTTTATGCCCCATTCATAAAGTTAAGACCCCTGGGATCAGACAGTAGTTTATATCTTTGTATTAACTGACTTTCCATCTTCCAGAATCTAATTAGTCCACTATTCCCTAAATCAGTGCTTAGAAACGAGCCAAGTTAACTAAAGACATCCAATATTTGATCCATAGCAAAAAGCCCTTTAAAATGCTTTAAAATTCTGAGCAATAAATGTGTCGTCTTTAAATCTCCAGTGTCTCCTCATTTGATACTTTGTGGTTCTTGTCTTCAAGCAGGAGTGTGTTCTTTTTTTTTCCCTTAACTTTTTATTTACCCATGAATGATGCCTTCCTGGAATTTAAAAGACATTTTAGAGAATAAAAACATAGCACACAAAATTAATATTTGATTCTCACGTCTTTAGATGAAGAGATCTCAGACTCATCAGTATACCAGAAATGAGTTTTATGTTTCTTTACGGAAGTAGTGTGCAAATGCTAAATTACCATAAATCCAATCTTGCTTGTTGATAGCATCAAATTTCTTTAAAGTACTTTCTGTTGGATATGTTATGAGTTACTTAATTTTCTTTTGTGGTAGTGATTTCATTATAACCAACAAAAAGTTAACCAGTGTCAATACACTAGAACGCATGGGTAGAATGCTCAAGCTTTAAGCTGCTCTCTCTTATGTAGAAAGCATTTCCAGAGTTCCTTTATCTTACCCAAAGCTCTAATCGTATGACATCTGATTTTCTTCTACATAATGAAATTCACAATGTAATCAATAGCCTCACTAAATCTAAGGGGTGCTATACGCATAGAGCTTTATGCCTAATATATGGCTGTGCTTGTGGGCTTGTTTTATGCCTCTTCCCACAAATGAGCTTGGAGAGTGAGAAACTTCATTAAAAAGACATTTGTCAGGATGCTAGAGGAAAAGGCAAATCCTCCACAGGCCACAGACCCACTTCCCAGCCAGTACAGGATTACTCCCCACAGGAGTCATTTATTGCTTTACTGGCCTAAGTGATGGGGTTGTTAGCATCTATTTTGCCTGGCTGCTTTGCAATCTAGTTGCTTTTAGAGATGAGAAAAGTCATCTTAATATTCATATAGAACTTCTGTCTCACTTCATTTCTTCCAACATTGATCTTACAGTGTCCCATGGGCAAAGCTTATCCTCTGCTCACTGAAACTCCAAATGTGCATGAGTCCAACAAGCAAGGTATTGGGGAAAAAGGGCACAGCTTGCCCACATTTTCGTCAACCCACCAATTTTTGCAATTGTTGCTTATTTCAATTGTTCCTCTCATCACCACCACCACCCTGCACCGCCCCCCGCCCCAGCACACACACACACATAGAGTCTACATCTTAATTTCCACTTCTTTATATGCCCACAGTCATTGGCCAGCAGATTTTACATGTACCAACCTATGCTGAAAACAGAATATGGGAATGCACTAATTGGTACATTGCTTGTTGGAAGCTTGACATCCTAACTTCAGCTCTGATTGATATTAAAATAATTTTAAAAATTGTAATTGTAGTCTGTTAACAAGATTTAAGTTGTTTCTTCACAACTATTTTATAAATAAAATGAGTTTTGGGGAAAGTTTTAGTAAGAGGAGTGTTGGGTCTGCAAAAGAATGTCATAAGAGTAGCACTTGAAAGACTCAAAGAAAACAACTAAAATATATGCATGTGAGAAAACAACCAGTTATTGTCACTGACAGCCCCAATTGGCTTCCTCTATACCATCCACTGATTATAATTGCTTTCAGAAATAACTCCCTGAAGTGAATAAAGTGGAGAATTTGCTATATTCTTGTATGTGTTTCATATAGATTAAACTCCCAGATGTTTTTCTATAAAAGACCTACCTAATAGGTATTCTAGAACTCAAAATCTAATCAAATAATCTACAAATGTAACAATAGAAATAGGGATTTCCTGTGGTAAACACCATTAATTAAATTTGGATGATAGTATAATTATTTCTGGTTAATTTCTGGCTCAATTCTGTTAAATACTATTTTCACAACTGTTGAGCACCTAATGGAAGGCAGTGTTTCCCATGATGTGTCACCAAAGAAGCCTTCTTCCTATCCTAGTGTGTTTGTAAGAAATATTCAGACCATGTGTATTGTGACATACCCCTCAGTCTTGACGCCATATTTAATACCTCCTTCCAAGGCACCTATGTAGCACAAACTCAAAGTCCAGTTATGAGATGAGCTGTGCTGACCCCTTGTACAGAAATAATGATAATTTGCCACAAAGTCATTCCAGATGGGCAACAGTGTAGGCAACACCTCTTGTAGCATAAAGGAGGCTGGCACTACTCTTAGGAGCCCTGTACTATACTGAGGTGTCCAGGACAGCAATACTTAGACTAGTACTGTGGGTGTACCTTTTGCAGACTTTTAACAAGAATATGGTAGGGGAGAGCGCAGCGGGGAAGAGGAGAGAGCAGCTTTTCAGAGTGGAATTGAATTTAGCTTATTGATAGTCCATTTTCATGACAGGTTTTCTTCTCACACAGAAAATAACGTTTTCTCATAAGGTATAAGGGTATTAACATTCTCAGGCTTTCTTTGAGGTGGCCAACATAATCTTGTTCAATCGTTTGTGTACTTTAAAATATTTATTATTTGTTTCTGTTTGTTTTGTTTCATTTGTGCTTTCAAAGGATACAGCCACTAACATTCTGATATACTTTCCCAATGAATAGGTCGTCATGGAGATGGAGGTTATTGGCCAGTTGATACCAATTTGATTGATAGAAGCACCCTCAATGGTAAGTATATAAATTAAGTTCTATTGGATTAGTTACATTAATTAAATGGTTAATTCTAGAGTGTCTGAGGCAAGTTTCCAATTGATTGCAAGTGCCAAGACCCTTGGACTTAGGTAGGGTCTTAGTGGGAATAATAGAAACATGAAGTTATTAACAAACCTGTAGCATATTCCATCAGATACAATGCTGATGAAAGGTGACAAGTACACAAAACAGCCAGAAAAGCCCAAGCATAGAGAATGTTATAAAAGACACAGGGCTGTTAAACACCTAGATTTTATAGTATTATATGTATTTTCTATATTTCCAAAAGTTGGATTTTATTAGAGAGAGGTGATATCTAAGATAGATTAAACTGAAGCCCACTTGGTTTCATGAATTGATGTTACTGGTACGTGTTGCCTGAAGAGTATGTTTCCTCTTCGAAATCTTTTAGCACCTTATTGCTAATTTTCCTTCACACTGTCAAGAGTAGACATTCATGTCTGTTCATCCTAATGGAGCATTCACACATCTGTTGGCTTTGACAATGACCAGAGGGAGGTCATCCTAGAACTGCATTGAAGAAGCAGGTTGGCATTGGAGATGTCTTCTAGAATTTTGTCCTGAGTTTTGCTTAAATAGAAACTTCGGGAAGTTGGATTAATACTGGCCACATGCCCAGGGACGGATGTGTATGTGATAACTTCCTCCTGTAGGTTTTTATTTTTTATTTATTTTTATTTTTTGTATGTTGTTATTGCTATTGCTTGGCTTGGTTTACTAAAAACATACTTCATATATTCAAAATACAAATATCAACACATGAGCCCATCACCAAAGTTAAGATATAAAATATTCCACATATAATTGAAATTTCTTGTATGTCTCTGCCTTATCACATACTTTTCCACCATTCCCTCCATTTCTCCCAAGTATGTTTATCATATAGTATATGTATCCCTAAATATTATGATATTATTATACATGTTTATAACTTTATAGAAATAAAGTTATCATACTATATGTATCCTGCTGCAGCTTGCATTTCTCTTTAACTTTGTTTTTAAGGTTTACTCATGTGTTTACAAAAGCTCTCCTTATTTCCCTTTGCGGCTGTGTAGTGCTCTGTTAGGAAAACAACATGACTCATTTAAGCATTTCAGCAGGTTTTCATGATAAATTTGATTAATTACTAGCTAAATATCCATTTGGGTGGTGGTCTGTTAAAAAAAAAAATCCACATGAGAAGCCAAAATTGCAATCTAAAAGTTGCTTGCTGACCGTGAAATTAGAATACGGGAGTGAGTTAAGTGATTATTTCCTATCATAGGCTCTAATAATCTAATGCATTCATTTCTAAAGAGGATATTCTATCTGGGGAGCAGACTAGATGTTCTAGTGAAAGGCTCAGTGTTCCCTCGCCTCTGGGCAATGGTGGACTCAGGAATATATTTTCAACTGTTGACTCTTCCTTTTCTCTAGGCATACTCTGCTCTTCTACTTATGCATTTTATTTAACCAGACAAGTATTTTCTGACATGTAAGTTTCCTAAATATATTCCAATCAAGCCTCTCTAAAGTTGTTTCCAGAATATTCTCTCCGGCTTGCTACAACCTTCAGCACTTCTTCTTTCTTAAACAGGTCTTTCCTCATTGAAGTCACATTATTGTCTTTTGTAGGTATTTGAGTTTTAGATACCTGTGATAGCTAGAGCCTGGCTCTAATAGTTCCTGGGCTCTGATATACACAAGAGACACTTTAGTGAGCTCAAAGCAGACACATGAGAAATGGGATGTAACAGACCAAGGGCATGCTCCCTAAAATGGGTTTAGACATGATAGTTCCTTGCCCCCAGCTTTGTAAGTTTCATTCTCTTGCCACAAATTTTATCTGAATTTTCAACAATATGCCAACATACTTCATGCATTCAAGCAGTCAGTAAGAAATGCTACAAAGCTTTCACTGTATGCAAGGTTCGTGCTGCGAGCTATGGGCACAGATGGAAAAATAGACACTGCAGGAGCAATAGACAAAGAGGGAGAACGAACCAGGTGGACACAGCAGAGAAATACTTTCCAGGAAAATGAAAGAGAGTGAGAAAAATCCCAGAGATGGGAGGAAGGGTAAAGAAGGTTGTGGTGGAAATGGTATGGAAACATAATCATAGTATTTCATACCCTGAGATGGAGAGGTTCTAGGTTTGGGATACATACCAGGAATTAATGTTGTCCCCTTTAGAATGATCCTGCAGAGCTGATTTCAAGATACTATTTCTATGGGAGGTTCAAGTTGGAATTCATTCCTGGCTAAGAGCGTGACTATACTAGCACAGGATAGTACTTTTTACAGAGACAGAGTACCAAGAAACCAAAGAAAGAATCAGCATAGATAACAAAGAAGGAACAAGGATCTCACAGTTCCCATCCACTACTGAGCAGTGATTAAGTGTGTGAACAGGTGTAGCAACTGTCAGCCACAGACAGAGAACTGGGTGGTCTCCTCAGCTGCGTGTCCTAAAGAATTGAATCACGGATAGAGCTGCCAAATTTAGCACTAAGAGATACAGGAGGCCCAGGAAAATTTGAATTATTTCTCATTGCCTATACATATGAGATAAAGGAAAATGTTTCAAGGGATTACCACTGCAATATTTTTCAATGTACATATGCATAGGCAACTAGAAATAAGTCAAGTAACTGGGTCTCTTTGTTTTAATTAATAAATCTGGCAATTCTAAGTTTGGGTCAAGTTTGAAACTTTGGTAGTGACTGTTTGAACTTGCCCTTCAAAATAAAACAAATTCTCTGATTGAAAAGAAACCCCAGCCCAAATCTGATGTGAACAGCTTAATCAACAAGAATGTTTCTTTTCAGAGGAGTCAGACCTCAGCTGAATAGAATGATAGTAACTGAGAGAAAGGCATGTCATTTTATTTTTTTCCACTTTATTTAATATTCCTAGTGAGAAACATAATCGGAATTAATTTGATCTGATATACATTACCTCACAGGAGAAAGTCATGAAGATAAAACAGATGAATGGCATCCAGTGAGTATGAACCAGTTTAGATTATTGGCATTACCCTTTCTCAATTTTCTGCATCATTTAATGATGCTCTAGGTATTTCTTATTAAATGGATGGGATGAACAAAGCACCTGAAATATTCCTAGAATCCTTACTGGAATAACAAATGATTATAGGCTACTTGGCTAAGGTGCATTGATAACCTCAGAGAGACATGGATGATGGAGGACAAACTTACTCTGTTTCCTTTGCTATTTTGCTAGCAGATAAATGATAGTAAATATGTAATTTGAGTTTAGCTTGGGCTATTCCAAGCAAATCAACACAGGCATCTGAAAATTTTAGCTTCTCATGAAAATTCTGCTAATGTCGTATGCCTTAAGAACGGGCTGTATTTTCTAATTAGATGGACAAATGAAACCCTGACTGATAAAACTCCAACCCCATCCCGTCTTTACAAAGTAGGCTGCATCAACAAGAACATTTTAAAACCTGAGTGTTTGAACCTCATATACAATGAAAATTTCATGTATCTCCTCTTAGAGTGACAGAATTATAGAGGTTTCCTATCTTTCCCTACACTTGCTGGATTCATCCTTCAAAGCATTGTAAGAGAATAATGACTTATTGTCATGATACTCAAGCCAGTTGCAATAAATTTAGACCTCACTAATCATTTACTTTCTCCTATAGCATGTCACTCTTTTTAAAATGCATTCTTGGAGTTCAAATAAAGGAAAACAAAGATATAATTCATGTTTACTCTTGTAGTTGGAAATCCTTAATTAAATTAAGGAAACTGAAGAGGTTTCCTAAATTATTTTATGATGACAAGTAGAATCAAAGCTAATATGTGGTGATACAGTCGTATTTTACTTTTATGAGCCATTCAGTTTAGAATTGAAGTACACATTCTTTTTTTTTTTTCATTTTCAGGTTTTTTTAAATTAAATTTGTTGGGGTGACATTGGTTAATAAAATTATATAGATTTCAGATGTACAATTCTATAATACATCATCTATATATTGCCCATTCTTACAGTAGAAAAATCTTAACTTTTGAAAATGTGATTTTGTAGTTGATATTTGTATGAGTGACAAGAACACTGAAAATTATTTCAATTCTATCATGCTTTTCCCACTGGGGAAGATAAATCACCAATTTCTTTTTGTTGGTTGCTCTTCCTATAATTTTGAAATTAGTAATTTTGGTTAAGAGATCTACAAACCCTACAACATGTTGTTATATTGACTTCAACCTTTGAAAACTAAATTAAGTTTAACATTGATCCTTTGGCGAAGCATTACTTAAAAACCAATATTATTAATTTTTGAATATTCAGAATCATAACTTCCACTCTGTGTTTAGGAGAAAAAAACATGATTTGCCCTCTGGTTTTGTAAAACTTTTCTGTATTGTTTTCAGAACTCACTAACATTTAAATTAATCTAAATAATGTTTACATAAAAGCTCTTTCCATATTTGCATGAAATCATCAGCATAGATTGGTAAGCTATTATAAAACACTCAATAGACACCTTAATGCCAAAGGAAAGATCCAGAAGTAAAATTTTACAGTTGTTTTCCCAACAGAAAGATAATTGGAGTGTTCCATGGTCTCAAGTTGTATTCTAAAAGAGACCCTGCCCACCTACAACCCAACCAATATCTATCCCAAATGATTTTAAGGATCCCAGAATAATCCCAAACCCAGTTTTCAGAACTGACTTTGCCAGTGATTAGGACTGTGTGAATAGAGTTGCTTAAACTCGTTGGGTTTCGATTTTTCATCTGAACATAGAAAGTGTTAAACTAGATCAGAGCTTCTCAACCGCAGAACTCTTGCTACTGGGGGCTGGATAATTTTGTGTTTAGCAGCATCCCTGGCCTTTACCCATGAGATGCCAGTAGTATTTCCCCCATCCCATGTTGTAACAACCCAAACTGTCTCTAGACATTGCCAAATTTCCCTTGGTGACAAAATATCCCCA